GAACTCCCGACCCCCCCGTCTCTTGACTGCCCCCTCCAAAACCTCCCTGCCCCTTCTCCGACCCCCTGGCACCCTTGTTGTTGGCCTTCGCCTAATGTCTCCGTGAGCTTGCTCAGGAATGACCTGAGCCGTTCGTCCCGGCAGGCTTGTACCGGCAGGCTGGCTGGCGGGGGAGGAGCTCCAGACTGCCGGAGGCAATCTGGAATGCAGGGAGGGAGGGAGTTGATCTCTGTTGCAGGGGAGCGGAGGAGGGGCTGTCTCTGGCTGTGGGAGCCCCACGTAAGTTACACCATCCGGCCAGCTGCCCTGTTACCGTCCGGGGGGAAGTCCGGACATTTACAAATTCCCCCCGGACCCTATTTTTAGCTCAAAAATCCGGACATGTCCGAGGGAATCCGGACGAATGGTAACCCTAAGCTGGGGCGAGGGGGTCACAGCGCCGGCCCAGTGACCCATCTGAACGCTGGGCTGGTTCCTCTGGCATCAGAGGATGGACCCGGCTGTTCCCTAAGGGCTTGGCTCCACCCTGAGCCAGGTGCTCCACCCAGCAAGGCAGGGAACGCTGCTCCAGCAGCCAAGTCTGAGGGCAGAGCAGGGCTGTGCCGGGGGAGGGGCTGCTTGGGTGCAGGATTCTCCACCTCTCCAGAGCCACCAGGCCGGGTGTTAAGGCCTCTCACTGTGACTTGCTGCCAGCAGGGGGCACCCTGCCAGGCCCTGCTCCATCCCTGCCGCAGAGGGATCCCCCCCTTGCAGACACAGGGGCTTTGCTCGGGGAGTTCTAGCTCTTTCTGTCCCCTCCCCAGCCAGGTGCCGGCCTCCAGCCCCCCTAGTGGGACCAGGGTTTGGACACCGGCCCAAGTCTGGCCCAAACTGCCATGGGCAGGAGGAACCGGGGATGGGAAGGACGAAGGTTTTGGTGCAGGGAGCAGGACCCACCACTCCCATGGGAGGAGCTCCAGGGCCAGGCCCATCACTCACGTGGCTGAAGAGTTCATTGGTCAGCCCCAGGTAGTTGTGCAGGGCCAGGAAGGTGACCCGCTGCAGACGCACCACAATGATCTGGAAGGGAAGGGGAGAGTCTGAGCGTGCGGCACAATGCGGGGGAGGGGAGGGCATCAGCACATGGGACAGGGGCCGAGGCCGCACTCACCTGCACCACCCGCAGCAGGCTCTTGGGGTACTTCTCGAAGACGGCAGAGAAGGCCTCGACTGGCAGCCGCAGCACTGTGGAGGCCTCGCCCACCCGTACAGACACTGTCCGGTACAGCCGCTGGTGCCCCTGTGTGAGAACCGGGTGCCCATGGGTCCCTGCACCAAGGCTGGGGTGCCCCCGCCTCCTCCTTCGGGTAGAGCAGCCTACCAGTGGCGGGCACTGCCAAGGACAGCCAGGGATCCAGGGGGTACCCCACGGCTTCAGGCCAAAAGGTCCAGAGAGCAGCCTACAGCCACGTTCACCCGAGCCCAGCAGCCAGCCAAGGCCGAGACCCAGGCCCTGTGGAGGAAAGGTTCATCTCCTCTAAACTTCGTGTGGGGCAAGGTGGCAAGCACGGGGCAGGGTGATGGTGACATGTCACCACCTGGGACCCAGGCTGCAAACCCATCACGGGATGAGGGGTCAGGTGGGCTTACCACACACATCCCACAGGGCCTTTGTGGTGTGGGAATCTGTGACCAGCTTCCAAGTCCCTTCTGCAGCTTCCCTCCAGACTCCTGCTGGGGAGGGCTGTGTGTGCCATGCAGGGGTAGGAGCTCATCCTGAGGGGGGAGCTGGGCTGGGCTGGGCTGCAGCGGCTCATGCTGGGTGGGGTGGGGGGGAATTGCCCGCTGAGGGGGCTGTGCGGAGGCAGGGGGCTGTGTATGTCGTGCAGGGATGGAGGCTTGTGGGGGGCAGGGAGGGCATCTGTGCATTGGGATGGGGCTGTGTGTGCTGTGCCGGGGCGGGGATCATTCCACCGGGGAGTTGGCTCATTCTAGGGGCCCCTGTTCTGCCCTTGCAGCTGGAGCAGATGCTGGAGAACACAGCCGTGCGTGCCCTGAAGCAGCTGATTCTGCTGCACCGGGAGGATGGCCCCAGCCCCTCCCGTACTGTTGAGTGGCTCAACATGCGCAGCTGGTGCTCAGGACACCTTCACATCAAGTGCCCACGCCGTGTCTTCTCCCGCCGGAGCCCCAACAAGCTGGTACTGTCCCTCTCGTCCCCAGGACCCTTTGGGCTGGTGCAGCATGGTGCCACACGGCGAAGCTGTCTGCTAAGGGAAGACAAGACCCCCATGGGGGTGGGCACAGAGCTGTTGTCTCAGAAAAGACCCCCAGGCCAGTCTGGTCCCTGTGGTGCCTCTGCTGCCTTCCATGGCATTAACCTGGGCAGAGCCTGATGCCAGCCTGGCCTAGGTCTGTGATGGCATCAGACCTCTCTGGAGTGTGGGGTGCAGAGCCAGGGGGTTCCCTGTTATAAGGGGGTGGGAGGGTGCTGTGTGTGTGGGAAGGAGTTGCTGTGGGGCGGGGAGTGGGCTCTGGGGGTGCATGCGTGCTGTATGGGGGGTGCTTTGGGGGGTGGCAGCCTGTCTGACTCTCGCTCCTGGCCCTGCAGAGGGAGATGTACGCAAAGGTCTTTGAGAAGGACGCCGACCGGCACAGTGACTGGCACGGGTCCTGACCGGCAACAGCATTGCCCTGGTGCTGGGAGGAGGAGGGGCCAGGTAGGGGCTCAGACAGGGCCTGGCTGGGGCACTGAATTCCCATGGCACTCCTTTGCACCCAGGCGCAAACCAGCCCCTAATGGGGGGCCACAGGCATCCACAACCCCAGCTTTACAGTGGGCAGGGGGGACAAACCCAGGGATAGAACCCAGGAGTCCTGGCTCCCAGCCCCATGTCCCTACTGGTACACGAACACTGCCTCCCAATAAGGGCCGTGGGAGTGGGGCTGGGACAGTGACCCTGCCGCCCACCACCCTGCCCGGAGCAGTGCATGCTGGGAGCACCATTGCAGACATCCTGGCCACCTGGCCCGTTGGGTGCATGGCAGCTGCGTGGCAGGCTGCAGAGTTCGGGGCCATGTGTTGGCCCCTGGGGCAGGCTCCCTGCCTCCCATTGGCCTCTGACTTCTCCCTCCCTCCCACAGGGGCTGCTCCCACATTGGGGTGATCAAGGCCATGGAGGAAGCCGGGATCCCCATTGACCTGATTGGGGGCACATCCATTGGCTCCTTCATTGGGGCTCTCTATGCTGAAGAGCGCAGTGCTGTGCGCACCAAGCAGCGTGCCCGTGAATGGGCCAAGGTGAGAAGCAAGGCCTGCTGTGGGGTGGGGCAGACACAGGGTGGGTGTGCTGTGGGGCAGGGCCAGACTTGGGAGGGTGGGAGCAGGAGAACTCCCCGAACCAGCCCCTCCCAGAGCTGCCACCCCGTGACCCAGCCTTCCCCACAGCCGCTGGCAGCCAGGCCCAGGGCTGCACTGGGAGCTGGCCCTCACGGCCAGCAAGTGCAATACAGAGGTCCCAGCATGCACTGGGGCCTGATCAGTCTGCCTGAGGGGGCCCGTAGAACCTCCAGGCTCTCTCTGCTGCAGGCATCTCTGCCCCCTGCCCATGCTGTGCAGCTCTGCCCTGTGGGTTCAGAGGCAAATCCCCTGCAGGCTGTGGGGGTTTGTCCTCCCTTTGGCCCTGGGACGTCTGCTTGGCTTGGAGCAGAGAGCCCCATGGTGTGCCTCAGCATTGTCCTGCTAGGCACGGCAGCCTCTGTTGCGCATGCAGCAGGGGGGTTCCGGTGGGAATCGCAACATCCCCAGTAACAACCCGTCATGCTAATTGGCATACGGTGCTTTGGCTGGAGGACATGCCACACCCCCACCAGCGGTTCCGGGGCTGGCATGCCAAGTGGCAGGGCTGCGCCAGGGCACCATCCCGCTTCGGAGCCACGTGCAGTGGGTGAGTCTCCTGTGAGCTTCAGGCTCGCTGCCGTCTCCCCGACATTCCTCCTTGCTTGTCTCCATGAGCCTGGACTCAGAACGCTGCCTGTGCTGGGCCGTGCCACCCACGTAGTGACCCCTCGCCCTCCTCCTGCAGAGCATGAACTCCGTGTTTGAGACGGTCCTGGACCTCACCTACCCCATCACCTCCATGTTCTCTGGCTCAGCCTTCAACACCAGCATCAACAAGGTCTTCCAGGACAAGCAGATTGAGGTAGGTGGGTCCAGGAAGCTGGGCGGGGGTCCTAGTGCAGAACACTCAAAGTAGCCTCTTGCTGGGCAGCCCTGAGCAACGCCCCCTGCTGGCAGCTCTGTTCCCTGGAGTCCAGCCTTGTCCAAGGGGCGTGATGCCTTGCACAGCCCCCACAGCAGCATCCTGGGCTGTAACATGTCTCTGATTACCCTTTCGTGCCCCTGCAGGATCTGTGGCTCCCCTACTTCAACGTGACGACGGACATCACAGCCTCGGCCATGCGGGTCCACAAGGACGGTAAGCGCCTGCACCCCACACCCGCGGCGTGTCCCAGGCTGCACCAGGTGCATGGCGCCCTGGCTGTTGGGGCCCAAATCCTCAGCATCCTGCTTCTGTGAGGGCCCAGGGCCAGAGGCCTCTCCCTGCCCCCCACCCTGAGCCAGTAGCGCAGCATGTGGGGTGGAGCCTGCTTGGTTGCTGAGAGTAACGGGCCCCACTGGCCTGTCTCAGCCCCTGCTGGCTCTCTCCAAAGAGCCCTGCTGTGTGTGTGCTCGATGGGGCCACATGGCCATGCCAGGCCTGGGCTCAGCATAGGGATGCCTACTCTGACTGAAGCTATTTCGGGAGATTTTTTTTCCCAACGTGATGTAATGTCATTTTCTTAAAATAGCCTATCAAAATCTCCTGGATTGTTTCAATAGTCACTGGGAGATCGATGCCGGTTCCAGGAGACTCCAGGCCAAACCTGAAGGGTTGGCAACCCTAGCTGAGCAGTGCTGCCCCTCAGGCGCTGAGCTGATGTCTCTAAGGACGGGAGCAGGTTATCGCCTGCTCTAGGGAGTGCCCCCATCCCCCAGGGAGCAGTGCTTGTAACCCCTAGCCCACATCAGCTGGCATGGGCCACCCGACTGCCAACCCATCCACTAACACAGCGAGGGACTGGGCTGGGCATGGCCATCTCCATGTCTTTGTGCTTGCCCCCTTTGCCCCCACACCTGGCAGGGCCCCTCAGCATCCTGCCCTGCAGAGAAGGATAATGTTACAGGAAAGGGCTGAAAGGAGGGCAGGGGCTGTCAGGGCAGGGCCCCAGAGGTCTAATTAGGAGTGATGGGCTGAAATAAAGGAGAGACACCCACCCCCCTTGTCTGCCCCCAACCCTGCGAGAGAGCCGGGGCAGAAGCTGCCATTGGTGGCACAGGGAGCACTAGGGCTCTGCTGCCAGGGCTGTGCTAGAGGCAAAGCCAGGCTCTGGGACACCCCCTCCTTCCGCAGCAGTGCTGTCCTGGGGCAGCAACCCCTGCTGCTCTCCCAGGGGCTGGGGCACCCCCTATAGGGAGCACTCAGCCCAAATTGACTGGGGTCAAACACCAGGGCCAGGGGGCTTCCCCCACCCATGGCTCTGCCCTGGGCAGCAGGAGCTGGATCCCCCTAATCACCAGGCCTCAGGCAGCGGCGGCTCCAGGCACCAGCACTCCAAGCGCATGCCTGGGGCAGCAAGCCGCGGGGGGCGCCCTGCCGGTCGCTGCGAGAGCGGCAGTCAGGCAGCCTTCGGCGGCATGCCTGCGGGAGGTCCCCAGTCCCGCGGATTCGGCGGCATGCCTGCCGTCCTTGGGGTGGCAAAAAAGCTAGAGCCGCCCCTGGCCTCAGGGCCCAGAATCCCCAAGCAGCCAGACACCATTCCTGTCTTTCTGGGGGCAGCAAGGGCCGGCCTGGGCCAGCAGAACCCAGGCCCAAGAGCTGCTGATGCTGCTCCTGGTCAGAGCTGGGGCCCCACAGCGAGTCCCTCCCTTCCCCCGCTGCCCATCCCCACACTCTGCTGCCCACTTGGTGACTGTCTGGCTCCTCCCCCGTTCCCTGCTTGTAACACTTCTGCTACTCACTAACCCCTGGTAACACCCCCCACCCCTGACTGTGTGGGGAGAACACAAGATGGGGCTGTGGGACACACTAACCTTGCTGCCCCCTGCCCCTCACGGCCTGAGAGGTGTCAGGGTACAGGACAGAGTTGGCTTTTGGAGGGACTCAGCACCTCTCAGCTGGGCCAGACAGAGACAGAGCTGGAGCCAGAAGGGGGTTCCAGGGCAGCTTGGCTGGGTGGTGCGCTGGATGGACGGTGTCTTAGCCTTTGCTTCTCTGGGCTAACCTGGGGACTTCCCGGGCTGGGATGCAGATGACTAATAAACCCGACTCGGTTTGAAAATGTTGCCTGGTGTCACTGCACATCCTTGCCAGGGTGCACTGGGCCCTGAGGAGTGGGCAAGTCTCTGGCCAGGCGTCTGTCTCAGCTGAATGCGCCGGGTGGAGCTCCCAGGGTGAAGCAGGAGGGCTGGAGCCCAGGGGCTCAGTCTTGGAGGAGTTGAGGCAGCGTGGTGTGCCCTTAAGGAAGAGCGGGACCCCTCGGGGGTCTGGCTCCCTGAAGGGCTCCTCCAGGGACTGTTTAAAAGCTGGGACGTAGCAGCCATGACAATCCACAAGCCCTGCTCTTTCCCAGGACAGGCTAGCAATTTACACCCCCACTTTGTTGCACTCATGTGCCCAGTCCCTTGTCTTCTGGACACCCGCTATGCACCGCAATCCGCTGCCGGCAGGGAAGCAGGGCGCTCCAGTTCACTGGTTCCACCTCAGTGCAACACTCCTTAGCACAGGGTGCTTAGAGGTGGCCAAAGTAAAATCTAACTCATTAATTTACCGGAACTCGTGTTAAAATTCAAATAAAACCCCAGGCCAGGTCAAAAGTTACAGGTCAAATAACCCGGGGTGGGCAAACTATGGCCCGCGGGCCAGATCCAGCCCACCAGGTCGGGGGCTGCTCCATGCGGCTCCCGAAAGCAGCGGCTCCAGCTGGGGAGCAGGGTTGGGTGCCGCTCCATGCAGCTCCCAGAAGCAGCGGCATGGCCACTCTCCAGCTCCTACGCATAGGGACAGCCAGGGAGCTCCGCTCTGCATGCTGCCCCACCCCAAGCTCCGCCCCCGCAGCTCCCATTGGCCAGGATCCGCAGCCAATGGGAGCTGCAGGGGTGGTGCCTGCAGACAGGGCAGTGTGCAGAGCTGCCTGGCTGCGCCTCCGTGTAGGAGCCAGAGAAGGGACATGTAGCTGCTTTCGGGAGTCGCTTGAGGTAAACGCTGTCCGGAGCCTGCACTCTTGAGCCTCCCCCCATGCCCCAACCCAGAGCCCCCTCCTGCACCCTGAACTCCTCACTTCTAGCCCCACCCCGAAGCCCGCACCCCCTCCCACACCCCAACCCCAATTTTGTGAGCATTCATGGTCCACCATACAATTTCTATTCCCAGATGTGGCCCTCGGGCCAAAAAGGATGCCCACTCCTGAAATAACCCCATCAAACGCGGTCTAGAACCTGGGCTTATTAACCAGTTCCTTTCCTGTGTGATAAGGTATCTCTCTCCCAGTGGTCAGTCTGTCCAGCGCTTGTCCAGGCCAGGGAGCTGGGCTCCACATTTCCTGGGAAGCTCCTGCTGGCAGAGCGTTGCCTCCCTGAAGGATAGCACTTGTGCCCTCTTTCCTTCTCTTACAGTCTCAGACCCTTTTCCTGTGTCAGTGCTCACCTCTGTGTCGTCCCTGGACTGTAAACTCTGGGCTGGGCTGGGTCCTAGATGCCAATTGTTCTCGGTGTTGATGGAGGCAGCTGGGTGACCCACGGTTCATCTCCCACAGGTTTGGAACCCAATATCCTCCACGTTCCAGAACTCTACCAGCAATTCCTGTGCCAGCCCCCTCCAATAACCACGACAACCAGCGAGATTTGAGCTGTTGGTTCAGACCACACACCACCCCGTTGGTGAAATAGTGAGAAGATGGTTGGACGCAGATGGCATGTCTGTGACACAGGCTCCCAGAGTAGGAGCCAGCCAGTGGGACTGGGTTGGGGGTGGACAGACATGAGGGAGGATGGGAGGACATGGAAAGCAGAGTTGGAGCCCAGGCAGATTTCCCCAGCTCCTCTGGCTCAGTCACTGTCCTGGATTGAGCTGGTCGGGCTTGTGACGTTGTGCAGTCTATATGGTTTTATAAAAACATGATAATAAGTGACTATAATGTAACTGGGATATGCTTCGTGCAAAAGGTCTCTTGTAAGGTAACTGGGATATGCTTCGTGCAAAAGGTCTCTTGTAAGGTATCATTATAAAGCTTATAATCTACTGAGTGTGATCATCCTATTTGTAGAAATGTA